TCAATCACATCTTTCAATAATAACTTTAAATATCAATGGACTGAACTCCCCAGTCAAAAGACACAGGCTAGGTGAATGAATTAAGAAACAAAATCCATCTTTAAAAAAAATTTTTATTTATTATTTTTATTTTATGTATATGAGTATATTGTGTGCATGTATGTGAGTGCACCCATGTCATGCAATGCCGCAGAGGTCAGAAGAGAGCTTCAGATTCCCCTGGAACTGGAGTTAAGGACAGTTCGTAGCCACCATGTGGGAGCTGGGAATTGAACCCGGATCCTCTGCAAGAGCAGTTGGTGCTCTTAACTGCTGAGCCATTTCTCTAGCCCCAAATCCATCTTTTCATTGTCTGCAAGAAACTCATCTCACCCTCAAGAACAGGCAATACTTTATGGTGAAAGCATGGAAAAAATATTCCAAACTAAACAGAAGAGATAGGCCACTTCATTCTGATCAAAGGAACAACTGACCAAGAAGATACTACAATCATGAATATATATGCACCAACTCTGGTGTACCCAACTTCATAAAAACAATACTACAGGACTTTAAGACCCAGATTAATCCCAACACAAAAATAGTAGGGGACTTCAATACCCCACTCTCTCCATTAGGTCTAAGGGACAAAGAAAAACAGAGACATCTGAATCAAGCAATACCATACATCAAATGGACCTAACAGACATCTACCAAATATTCCACCCAAGCACCAAAGAATATACTTTCTACTCAGCATCCATGGAACTTTCTCCAAAACTGACCACATACCGGGGCACAAAACAAGCCTCAACAAATACAAAAAAAAATTGAAATAATTCCATGCATCCTATCAGACCACAGTGCAGTAAAGTTTAAAAACTCAACACCAGAAGAAGCCCCATTAACCACATGAACTCATGGAGACTAAACAACACACTCCTGAATGATGAATGGGTCAAAGGAGAAATTAAGGAAGAAATAAAAGTATTCCTGGAACTAAATCAAAAGAACAATACGACACAACAAACCTCTGGGACAATTTAAAAGCAGTCCTAAGAGGGAAGTTTATAGCTCTAAGAGCCTACATTAAAAAATCAGAAAGAACACAAATAAATGACTTAACATTGCAACTCAAGACACTTAAAAGGCAACAACAAATCAAATCCAAAACCAGCAGACAAGAAGAAATAACAAAAATCAGAGCAGAAATTAATGAAAGAGAAACAAAGAAAACAATACAAAGAATCAACGAATCGAAGAGCTGGTTCTTTGAAAAGATAAACAAGATTGACAGACCATTAGCCCAGTTACCCAAAAGAAACAAAGAGCCCTCCAAATCAACAAAATCAGAGAGGAAAGGGGAAACATCACAACAGACAACAAAAAGATCCAGAACATTATTAGGGAATACTTTAAAAAACTATATGCTATTAAATTTGAAAACCAAAAAGAAATGGATGTGTATCTAAAGTCATAGGAATCACCATAGCTAAGCCAAAAAGAGATCAACAGCTTAAACAGACCCATAACATGTAAGGAAATTGAAACAGTAATACAAAATCTCCAAACTAAAAAAAGCCCAGGCCCAGATGGCTTCACAGCATAATTCTACCAGACATTTAAAGACGATCTATATCCAATACTGCTTAATTTATTAAAAAAAGAAACAGAGGGGGAACTTCCAAATTCCTTCTATGAAGCCAGCATCACTTTAACACCAAATCAGGTAAAGATACAACCAAAAAAGAAAACTATAAGCCCAATTCCTTAATGAACATAGATGTAAAAATTCTCAGCAAAGTATTTGTAAACTGCATACACACATCAAAAAGATCATCCATCATGATCAAGTTGGCTTTATTCTAGAGATACAGGGATGGTTCAATATATGCAAGTCAATAAATATCATAAATCACATAAATGGACTCAAAGACAAATAACACATGGTCATCTCAATAGATGCAGAGAAGGCCTTTGACAAAATTCAACGTACATTTTATGTTCAAAGTCCTAGAGAGAATTGGATTGGAGGGAACATACTGCAACATAATTAAAGATATATACAACAAACCCACAGCCAACATCACTCTAAATGGAAAAAAACTGGAAGCATTCTCATTAAAACCAGACAAAGCTATTATCTCCTCTCCTTTTAAATATACTGCTTAAAACTCTTGTTAGAGCAATAAGACAGGAGAAGGAAATTAAAGGAGTACGAATTGAAAAAGAAGAGGTCAAATTATCCCTTTTTGCAGATGATATGATATTATATCTAAGAGATGCCACAAATTCCATCAGAAGACTCCTAGAAATGATTAACATAAAATTAATCTACAAAAATCAGTAACCTTTCTATATACCAATTTCTCAGAATAAACTGGACAAAAGACATTAAAGACCTCTACAATGAAAATTTTAAATCTTTAAAGAAAGAGACTGAAGAAGACACCAGATGATGGAAGGACCTTCCATGCTCATGGGATTAGAATAATTAATATTGTGAAAATGGCCATTCTACCAAAAGCCATTTATAAAGTCAATGCAATGCCAATCAAAATGCCCATGACATTCTTCACAGAATTAGAAAAAAACCACAAAAGACCCTGGACAGCCAAAGCAACCCTAAGCACAAAGAGCAATGCTGGGGGTGGATTAGGATACCAGATTTCAAACTGTACTACAGAGCTATAGTCATAAAAACATCGTGGTAATGGAACAAAAATAGACCCGTAGACCAATGAAACATAATTGAAGACCCAAACATGAATACATGCAATTTCAGCCACCTGATATTTGATAAAGGGGCCAAGAAGATTCGCTGGAGGAAAGACAGCATCTTCAGCAAATGGTACTGGCAAAACTGGATCTCCACCTACAGAAGAATGAAACTTAGACCTTTATCTTTCACACTGCACAAAAGTCAACTCCAAATGGATCAAAGACCTCAATGCGAAACCTGAGACTCTGAAATTGTTAAAAGAAAACATTGGCAGTAACCTACAAGATACAGATGTAGGAGAGGACTTTCTAAATAGGACATCAATTGCTCAGAAATTAAGGTCAAGAATCAACAAGTGGTACCTCACTGAACTAAAAAGCTTCTGTATAGCAAACAAACAAACAAACAAACAAGGAAGTGAAAAGAAAACCCAGAGTGGGAGAAAATCTTCACCAGTGACACATCTGACCGAGGTTTAACATCCAGAATATATAAAAAACTCAAAAAACAAAAACAGAGTCAAGAAAGCAAGTAACCCAATTAAAAGATGCACTAAAGATCTAACAGAGAGTTCTCAAAGGAAGAAATAAAGATGGCTAAGAAACATCTTAAAAGGTGTTCAACTTCACTAATAATTAGGGAAATGCAAATTAAAACAACTTTAAGATTTCATCTTACCCCAGTCAGACTGGCTAAGACCAAGAGAACAAATGATACCAAATGTTGGAGAGGATGTGGGGAAAGGGGAACACTCATCCATTGCTGGTGGGGCTGCAAACTTGTGCAACCCCTATGGGGGCTGGAAAGATGGCTCAATGGTTAAGAACACTGAACGTTCTTGCAGAAGACCCGGGTTCGAATCCCAGCACCCACATGGCAGCTAACAACTGACCTTAACTCCAGTTCCAGGGGATCCAACATCTTCTTCTGACCTCCATGGGCAATGCACAACACAGGTGCATTTACACACATGTAGGCAATACACACATGTGTAGACAATATACACATATACGTAAAATAAAAACAAACTAAAAATGAACCTACCATTTGACCTGGTTATATGACTTCTTGGCATATACACAAACAACTCATCCTATTGCAGAGACACTTGTACAACCATGTTTATTGCTGCTCTTTGCACAATAGCTAAGAGATGGAAGCAACCTAAGTGTCCTTCAACTGACGAGTGGATACTGAAAATGTGGTACATTTACACAACGGAGTTCTACTCAGGGGTAAAGAAAGACAAAATCATGAAATTTGCAGGTAAATGGTTAGAACTAGAAACTGTTATATTAAGTGAAGTAACAGACTCAGAAAAACAAACAATGTATATTCTCCCTCATATGTGGATCCTAGCAACAAATCCATATATATATCAGTGAGCTGGGGCTACTTGGGAGACCATCTCAAAAAGACCAAAACAAATAAAAAAACAAAGGGAGAAATGGATAAAAATAGCTATTTAAATGGGAGGGAGAGGGAGGGTTATACAAGGAACCTTGGGGATAAAGGAAAAGAAGGAGCTCAAGAGAGGTAGAACCATAGGAGACTGGTATTAAGGGAGAAATGGGGAAAACTGGGACACTTTAAATGGTCAAACCGTGGTGGAAGGGTTAGACAAGGAGAGAGAGAAGAAATGAATAATGCCTAGCTAGTTAAAAAAACATCTGACTTGACAAACTGGGACTTAATATGGATGATAGAGTATATGAGTTCCAGTGGGAGGGGGCTGTGGGAGTATACCAGTGAAGACAGGGGTATAAAGATAATTAAGATTCTTTGAGATATTCTGTATAAACTAGGAGGAGGAGAAAAAGGAATTAAGAAAACAAAAAACAAAAAGGAATTCAAGTGTGGTGATACATACCTGTAATCACAGCACTTGGGAGGCTAAAGCAGGAAGATCAGGAGTTCAAGGCCAGCCTTACCTACACTTCAAATCTAAAGCCAGTCCGGCTAGATGAAATCTTGTCTCAAAAACAAGGCTTGGTGTGGTGGTGCACATGTTTAATCCCAACACTTGGGAGGGAGAGATTGAGGCCAGCTTGGGATGGTCTATATAGCAAGTTCCAGGCTAGCTAGGAATACATAGTGAGACCCTGTCTCAAAAAAACAAACCAAAACTAAAACCCAAACAACCCCCAAAACCAAAAGAACAAGAACCAACCAACCAACCAAGCAATCCCTCCAAACCAAAAATTATACAAATAGATTTTGAAAGCTGAGTGTGGTGCTCATGTCATCCCACCTGAAATATGGAGGAAGAGGGATCTTTGGTTTGAGGTCAATATATTAAACTATTAAGTACATTAAACATATATATATAGCTATTGGGATAGTTATTATAACAAAACATTTTAATGAGAATAAAATTGGGTAAGGGATCCAGATTCTGTTGCTGTATTTGAAGAGTATAGATAGAAAGGTCTTAGGACAATAAGCATAGTTTCAAAACAACAGTAATATGAAGCTGGAGAGATGGCTCAGTATTTAAGAGCACTGGTTGCCCTTGCAGAGACCCCAGGTTTGACTCCCAATACCCACATGGTTTCTATCAACTGTTCAAAACTACAGTTCCAGATGATTTGATCCTCTCTTCTGGCCTCCATGGGCATGGCATGCACACAGTTCACATGCAGGCAAAAAACATTAAACTGAAAAGATTAGTGTGTATGTGTGTATGATATATGTGGGTACATGTGCTACAGGCACAAATGTAGAGGTCAGAGGACAACTCTGTGGAGTCAGTTCTTTCCTTTTGCCTTTACCTGGGTTTTGAGGATCAAACTCAGGTTGTAGACTTGTGTGGCAAGTACCTTTACCTGTTGCATCATCTTGTTGGCCAATAATGGCATCTTGAAGGGTATTACTTGGTAGATAGACTCAAAATTGTAATTTTATGCCAGAAGGATAAACAAGAGTAATTTTTAAATTATAATTACTCACTAACCAAAATAATGAAAAGGAAATTGAGTAAAATTCATAATTTCTGCAGCTAATTTTAGAAAGATAGAAGAAAAGCTGGAAAGGATCTTATTTTTTCCTCCCAAGAATCTAGTAATTTTCATTATAAATGAGGCTATTGAAGGTTAGATACTTTTAATTAACCCATCCACAGTAACACAAAATATAGCAAGAGAGCTCACATTTTCTTCCTTTTATATATACATATATATTTTATTTTATGTGTATGAGTGTATTTCCTGCATGTATGCAAGTGCACCTATGTCGTACAATGCTCACAGAGGTTGGAAGAGGGCGCTGGATCCTCTGGCACTGGAGTAATATGGACAGTTGTTAGTTGCCATGTGGGTGCTGGGATTTGCACCTGGGTCCTCTGCAAGAGCAGCAGTGCTCTTAACTGCTGAGCCATTTCTCAAGCACCTGCATTTTCTAACTAGCATTTTCTGTAACTTAAACTTTTGTATTGGAACTCCCTCAAAATGACATCAAGTTTCATTTACTTTAAAATAAAAGGAATCCAACTCTACTTTCTTAACCTGCTAACTTCCAATTATTGCTCTTTCCTTTCATGGTCAGATTTCTCAAAGGTTACCTCTGTTCCCTGTGTCTCTCACTGCACTTGCCATGTGTTTCTCAAGCCACTCCAGTCTGGCTCGAGCACATACCTGTCCAATAATTTAGATAATGAAGACTTTTTTATTACTAGCTCTGTTCTTCAAGTTATTTAACTCAAAATGTCCCTTATTTCATATACTAGTCTGTCTTCCTGACTACTTTTTACTTGATTCATTCCTCTTCACTCAGTTAACTTGTCTATGTACTTGTAATTTTAATTAAAATAATATTCAGTCAGTTGATGAACCTCGTTCACTAAATTGAAAACTCAGAGGGTAGACAGAATGTCTGTCTTATTCATTGTCATAACACGAGTAGCAAGGACGATGTCAGATTATAGATAAACACATTTACAAGTAATACAGAACTGGAGAGAGGCTACCTGGACATAGTCACAAAATACAATTATTATTTGGAAATACAAACCTTATTGTTAAGCCTCCAGGAAATTCTTCATCAAATAATACTTCAAATAGTACATCAGCTTCTCGATTAGCTGTTAAAGATGGAGAAAGGGAGTCAGGCTGAAAAACCATACAACGGAAAACAGCACTAAGATTTTTAGAGCGCTCAGAAGCATCTGTTTTAACAGTTCACATAAAACATTTGGGATATGAAGAATAACAGATAAAAATACTGAGTACCATTAAGGTAAGAAAGTGAACAAACACCTTAGAAGACCACTGTATAACCACCAATTGCAATTTGATTTCCTATATACTTCCTTACACTTTTATTGAATATGTACATATATGAACTAATATGTAGTAGTGTTTTGCAAGTTTTGAAGCATATTATATATATATATGTGTGTGTGTGTGTGTGTGTGTGTGTGTGTGTATAGAGGGATGCACACACCTGTGAGATCAGAA